TTAGAGTTAAAGCTAAGTCCGTAACTCTTCGTCTTATTATCTCCGCTGTATTCTGAAGATGTTGTGATCACAATAAAACCTTCATTTACGAACGTTGTGTTATTTTCCTCTGAGAGTTACGACCCTCTTGAGTTACCGTGATATTAACAATATGTGGGACTAGATTATGGACTAATGACTCGCGACAGAGTTATATTATGACTACATACCGCCACAGCACAGCACTGTTTTCCTTCGACAACTACAAAGTTAAGGATTAATTAACAGACTTTCAGAGAATTTTAAAGTCCTTTCAACATAACTGCCACTAAATAAACTTATAAACTTCTATTCGACGATTTACGCAAAAAATACGTAAGAAATATTTAAAGATATTAACCTAGCGGCGCTGTATGTAAACAACAACAGCATCAAGGAAATCAGAATGATTACAGATTAACAAATTAACGTCAGTTTTTCATACGTCTGTTCTGTTATTGATCATGAATTTTGTCATAACATTGTGGAAGCAGATGTGGATCCACGTGGCGATAGCCGGGTGTATCCGCAGACTGCTTTGGCAATGTTATGACGAAATTCATTGTCAATAACAGGACAGACATGAAAAACTGACTTCAATTTGTTTTGTACGATAACAAATTGTCAAATTGTCCACTCTCGCTCGTTGACGCATCGCATAAATTATAAATTCATGTTTCTGTCTGCTTATTGAGAATTTCTGCAGTTACCCTAAAAATGACATTTGATAAAATTACTATCTGCACTGTTATTGAATATTAATCAATTTGAATGACTATGAAGTACGGGGCTTTTTCAAGATCGTAAACATTTACGTTTGTTGAGAAAATGTTCCATCGTTTTCTCGCTGCGCCTTAAAAACCAAATTGATTCATCGGCAGAAAAAGCAATTTTTTCCCCTACTCGATTGCGAATAGTAAGGTAACGAAAATTGCAAATTATATTCTTTCAAACAGAGCAAGTGAAACTTGCACCGCAGGAAAAATATGTTGGACGTTAATTTTATCCTGCCAGTTTTAACCAGGCTCAAATGAAGCACTAATTTTTTCGGTAGCCAGTGTAAGGAATAACTTCCCTCATGTAAACAGACGATTATGTCTTCCTTAGCTTACATCACCACTATTTCGTGTTGCGGGAGAAACGAAGAACTAATAAAAGTGGGAGAGTTCCAAAGAATGATACAAATTGAGAATTTAAAATAATTATAACGAAAAAGATATAGCTTTAGTACTGATCGGAGTTACCTCAGAAACACATGACATATGGCGCATCTACAGATTTGAATAGTCCAGTTCTGGTCACTCTCTGTCACGCAATGCTACCCTCTAAAGAGACAGGGTCCCTCTCTCCCGATAGCGTAGCGTTGCGTAACAGAGACAGCAGATTTGAAATGTTATCGGTCAAGGTCTTTCCCAATCCTAACCACCCTTATTCTTGCTTTGGTGATTGTAAACTTCGTTTTTTCTACTACGGTGTTCAAGTTTCTTTCTTTTGGTGATTAATTTCACTATCGTGTCAACCAAAAGTCCGATTCCAAAACTATTTCTCAGCAGTAAGAGATATCTAACCCGTCACTGGTACATACACTACTCGGTAGACATAAAAAACCAATCAGCTAGTCAGTCTCAGCCACCATCCATGGTGTATGATCAATTCATCTTGAGCTTTCCACCAAGAAAAGCGTCCTACCTGGAATAAATGAAAACAATTTCTCAGCATTCAGTTACTGCAATATTGGCTTTGTTTATTTTATAATATTATGTTTACTTTATATTATTACGTTTTGCCAAATTCTCGTTATGAAACATACCGTTCGCGAAATTACTTCAATGGATCTAAATGACAAAACCATAGCTTCATTAGAATCAAATTCTCGCGCTTTATAATTAAAGGTGACAAACCTCTTTGCTATCGCGGCTTCGAGTAGAGTGATGGTGTGGAACACGGAAATTCTTTTATACTCTCATTTTCATGATTCCACGGCCAATGCAAATTGAGTTTTCACAGCGAGAATGCTACCAAATAATTCATACTAGCGAGGCATGATCAGATGCTCTGTGACCTGAAGACAAACACTGGCCTGAGTCGGAAAGCTCGTAAACTGGTTCAATAAGCGTTGACAGTAATTTAGTTGGGAAGCCTGAGCACGAGACAAAGAGCTGTTGGCTTCTTGCGCCTAGGCCCTGTGGGCTTGGAATGAAAATAGGCCCAAGGGTTGAGAATGAAAGGAGTGTTTGTGTACACTCGCCTGGCGCATGTCGCAACGCACACCTGACATGCTTAGCCATACTCAAGCGCGCGACTTAAATGCAAGAAAAATGACCAGTACAAAGAAAATCAAAACGAGGTAGCATTGCTTGCCTTAA